GTGTGTGTGTGTGTGTGTGTGTGTGCGTGTGTGAAAAATAGTTATTTGTTAAAAACTAATTTATTATTATTACAATCTGTTTCTCTAGGAACAATAAGAATAATGAATTATATTAATATTATAWTTTACTAGGTATGCCAAATATTTAAATCAAAATAATTATAAACATATTTATTTATTTACAATAACATATTCCTAACTTGTGCAATCAATACCAAGTTATATTCAAGCTAATAATTTGGCTTGTTGAGTGCAATAGATAAGTTAAATTAAAATTTAAAGATAGGTTATATTAACAAAAGTTAGAGACTTGAAATTAGATAAGAATGTTTTTTTGAGACATTATGTCATACGAGCGTCCACGTATATTATTTATAAAACACATCTGTTACAAAATTTTTCATGCGTTATGAAATTTTCAAAATTTAACATCGTTAAAGATTTTAATTAGGTTACAAATTATTGAATTCGTATCGAATATCGGCCAAACGTAGTGGTTACAATACTGTGTGGTGAACTAAAATTATATAAAATTTTTTAAAGCAAAAGTGACTAAAATCAGTGAAACACTCTAAATCAATAGTGTTAATAATAATTTTAGTGTTATGGTGTTATCATACCATAGCATGAACAGTGAAGTCAATTAAAACGCTTTTTTTGTTAAAAAGCATATTATTTTACAGGTTTATGGTTTGGTTAGATTTTAAATTACAGAATTATTATGGTATGCGGGTACATGATACAATATAGTATTAAACGATGCATGCTTTGTGATTTGTATTGTTGACTTTGAATGAGCATTTTTCATCATGTTCTAAGGATTTTTTCAGCTTTATAATATTTACCAATGAATATAGTTCATGATTATTCATTTATTTTTAACGTTTTCTGTCGTCATTAAATTATTAATCGTGACTTTCATAAGACCTTTAAAACCGATTTATTATTTCCACCAAACTTCCAAGAATTTATCCCGCGCGAAAACGAAGTGTTAACGTAGTATAAATAATGTGTGTTTATTGACCGGGAATAAGTTCATTCAGCCAGAAAAAAAAATTACGAAATCAAATTAATGTACGGAATTAAATTAATAAATAATATAAATACGCGAGTTGTGCTGTTGGTAGTGGTGATTTTGCGATTACGGTTTCACATAAATATCAAATGTCCAAAAATCGCTTGTTGAGCAGCCCCAACTGTGGTGATTAGCGTTAAAGTCGGCTCCAAGTAGGAATGAATGATTAATCTGTGTTAGATATAAAAGGAGCTCATTATTAGGGAATTTTCGGCCTGGGAGGAGATAAGCAGATGCAATGGAAACCGGAATAGAGTTAATAAGCAAGGAAGTGCCAATTATTTGYATATCGATCGATGTACAGGGAAGAGATGGAGTGTGCGCTATTTTATTAGAGATGATTAACGCTGCCCCACCATGAGCGGTGCCGTCTGGGTGGTCTGCTCTCAGAATGTTATATCCATATATTTTTAAGGTCGATTTATTTGTWAGATGAGTTTCAGTAATCRTGGCTATGTCGACTTGATTTTCAATTAATGATAGTTGTAGTTCGTTTGTATTGTTTAGTATAACGTTTGCATTCCATACTAAAATGGTGATAGGTTTAATCAGATGATTAGCGTCCATCCTTGAAGAATTTCTCTATGACCGTCGTGAGTAGCGAGATCAAAGGGTTGATTAATGACTTTAGTTCATTAATGAAGGAATAAAGTTGATTGGTTAGGTTATTTTCGGCAGGTATATCATTTTTGGACCAGTGGTTTCTATGATTACCCGGTGGAATGCTGTTGGTGGGGGTTTTGGAAAGAAGTGAAAAATTTTGAGAATTGGGGATCTCTTGGGTGGTATTTGTTTCAGAGGAGAATTGATGAACTTTTTTATATCTTTGTGAAGGGTTGAGATGTAGTTTTCTGTATTTCAGTAGGTCTTTGTGAATTTGKCAGCCTCTATAATTTGCCGGATGCGAGCCACTGCAGAGAGCGCATTTGGCTGGTTCAGTACGGTCTTTTTGACATTGAGTTGATTCGTGGTTGTTACCACACCGTACGCATCTTGGGTTATGAAAACAATAACTGCGAGTGTGGCCGTAAGACTGGCATCGCTGGCATCGCTGGCATTGGGGGATTTCTTTTTTAATATGGGGTGTCTCGACTTTGACTTTGGAGTAACAGAGAAGTGTTAATTTAAAGATRTCTTGATTTGACTCGGATTGTTCTAGGTCGACGAAAAATAGGGGCAACGGAGTTTTTGTGGATTTATGAAGTACGTTTGTTATGCTTTTGACTTGAAACCCAAGTTCTGATAGTTCTTTGGAGATAAAGTTTTTATCAGTAGAAGGGTGAAGATTACGKATAACGATTCTGAACGGTTTATTTTCTTTTGGTTGGTATGAGTGGAAGGAGACAGCTTGCTCTTTAAAAAATTTGATTACTGATCTGTAGGATTCGGAGCTAAATGTTTGTATTTTAACACCTTTTGTGGTACTTTTGCAAACAAAACTGGAGGTGTCTGTCAATTCCTTAAGTTTGAGACATAAGGTATTGAAATCTAAGTCCTCTTCTTCAATGAAGATAGGGGGTGGAAGATTTATTTTGATAATATTCGTATCATTATTGATAACAGTGGGCTGTTCAGATGAGATTTCCATACGTTGAGTTTCATTTTCATTTTCAATTGCCGAGGTAGATGAGAGCGGTGCGTAGCGGTTTTTTGAGATGAAAATGCTAGAGTCTACTTTTTTGTATGGAGGAGATTTGGTAAGYGGTGATCTGATTCGTTTATTTGAGTCTACTGTTTGCCAGATATCATCACTGTCGGAAAGGTCATCTGGTGACTTATTGCTAGTTTGTGGTATTTTAGTTTTAACGAGAATTAATGGTGATATAGGTGGTTTGTTGATTAGCTTTGTGGMAGTGATGTTAGTTTTGGACGATGAACTCATTACGAATACTGATAAGGTGAGAGGTATCGGGAGGCCTTGAGCCTGTAACGACCGCGAGCGGTCGGCGGTCGTATAATTAGGTAATGCGGCTGATGTGTGTGACGGTAATTACGGACTGAGATAACGGGAGAAAAATAATATATAATAATATAGGTACATTTATTGGAAATTGAAACTGGTTGTACCTAATAATTATGGTATCGGGAATACGTAGTTACCTACTACCTATATGTTATCTATCTAATATATCATAACAGTCATAACTCATTACAGTACTGAGTAAATTAATGGTATAATGTTTAAAACTCTAATAAATCGGCATTGGGATTGTAAGCAATGTCCCTAGAAAATTGTTGTTCGGGGTAACCACGCTTTTGATGGATATGTTTAACGACAAGTGGACTGTATGTGTTTAATTAAAATATACATTTAACATAATATATACAAAAGAATGTATTTAAAATATAACCAAGTCAATATAAGTTATCAAATACATCTAAATAATAATTGTACGAAATTACAATACAATAATTATAATATTAGAAATTAAATTATACCAATAAAAAAAAAAAAAAAACAATAAGCAAATTAAAATAAACAAATCTCTTACCGCGTACTGCGCAATTGGAACAGCCGATAATAAGATTTACGCGACAAATATCATCGTAAAAATAAAAGAGTACACAACAAATTACGCGGAACTTCCGAACGCAATGACACGGTGACTAAAAACCCGTCAGACGGTCGCGGCGATCCGTATATGTAATTAGGGACCGTCGTGGATAGCTCAGCAGAAGGAGAAGGGAGTGCCACGTCTAGAATATTCTAGTGCTGTCACGGTAACACAGGCGTATTATCGAATGATCGAGAATATTCTCGATCATTCCAGAGCTGTACTCAACGGGGATAGTTAAAATATATACAATAAACCTAACCTGGAGTTGTCTGCGGAGCTTGCGCAGAGCAACATTGCAACGACTTCGAGGACAGAGCTGGCCTTGTTGTCTTTAACCTGTAGCATCTGAGATGACGATAGAGACTATCTGGTCTTCGGGAAAAATATATATATATTTTTTTTTAATAATTATAATAACCAGTTGCCGAAAAAAAAACATAAACAAAATTGATGAAGATAAAACAAATGAAATTATATGATTAAATTTCATACAACAACACAAAACAAATAAATTAAATAATTTATCACAATAATAAAGAAAATAAACTAACCATTGCAAGCTATCCCGTTAGGCGAAGCCACAGAGCCACACTCACAGCAGCAGCGGCCCGGTGGTAGCAATTTGCAGATAAMACAATCGTCATACAAGCAAGCAAGGAATACAGAAAATATGGGTACTAGTTAAGGTGGATCTTGCCGTGAGGATAAGATTAATGAATAATGAATATGCCAAACATGAAAATAATCATAATACTAACAGATAACTAACATAAGATGGAGTAAAAAAAAAAAAAAACATCTTATTGGTTTATTATTGTGTAGGAAGGGGAACTAATTTCACTACTGGTCTGATGACAGAGCCTTGGTTAGCAAATAGTTTAACGACCCAAACTACTTCATCTGAGCCTGGGAGGAGTTCCTAGACTCTGCCTAATCTCCACACTAGTGGGGGGGGGCCTGATTATCCTTATAACTACTAAATCACCCACCTTACATTCTCTTGGCCCTTTACCCAACAACCCTTAATCTGTAAGGTATTGAGGTATTCGTGAGACCACCTGTACCAGAAGGCTTGGAACATTTGGTTGAGGAGCTTTCAGCGACATCTAAGACTTGACGAACTATCAATAACCTTTGATTCGGGTACAGCATACAATGATCTACCTACCAAGAAATGAACAGGTGTCACTCTAAATCATTGGGATCGTTGGAGGAGGGAGTAAGAGGCCTAGATTTTAGAGCCGATTCTTTCCTACATAACTCGGTGGACAATTCTTCCAATATTAAAACCTGGTTACCCACAACACGCACTAAAAGACGCTTAGTCGAACGGACCGCAGCCTCCAAAATTCCTCCAAAGTGAGGAGCGCTCGAAGGGTTAAACTGCCAATCACACGTGAAGGTGGAGCTGAGCTGCTCCTGGGTTTTGGGATTGTTTGCTAGATCAAATAACTTCTTGGAAGCACCCACAAAATTCGTACCACAATCAGAGTACACAGACACGGGCAGTCCCCTTCGAGCAACGAATCGGTTGAAAGCCGCCAGAAAGGCTTCTGTTGATAAATTGGACACAAGTTCAAGGTGAACTGCCTTGACGGTCATTCACACGAACACGGCAATATAGACCTTATATTTTCGTGCCTTGCGCAATCTGATCTCTTTCATGTGCAATGGTCCTGCATAATCAATTCCTACTCGAGCGAAAGGAGGACTTGGTTGGATCCGAAAGTCCGGTAAATCGGCCATGACTGTCTGTGGGTTGCGAGCTGCTAACCTCACGCAAATGTTGAATTCAGTGATGATACGGCGGATGACATGACGTTCACCTATGATTCAAAATTGTCTACAAATCATCGTAGACATAAGACGTGGACCTGCATGGCATGCATAATAATGCCAATGCCTGGCTATCAAAAGTGATAAATGTGAATCCTTTGAAAACAAAATAGGACATTTGCGACGACCAGTTCGCAGGGAATGACGTAACCATCCACCAACCCGAATAATCCCCAAGCTGTCAATAAACGGAGACAAAAATGCAAATATTCGGGAAGAAACAGCTTGGTTGGAAAACAATTCTTGACGTAAAGACTGTAAGAATAATGTCTGAGAACATTTGACTATTACCATCAGTGCGTCCTTATATTCCCGTGAGTCCAAAGAACTTTTGGTTGACGATTTTTCGAGACAGCGACGAATAAAGTAACGTAACCGAATAATGGTTCTAAGCATTCGATTAAATTACGAGAACCTATCGTACCATTCGACTTGCTCCCCACGTGATCTCCACAACCAGCCCCGGAGTGGGGGATGGTGGCACTTGTTCTCCGGACAACGTTATTTGCCTGGAGAAAAATGCCGCCCGATGGTATTGATAGTTTGTAATCATTCATAAACACAAACCTAACAAACTTCATGCAGATCAATAAGTATACTACTTGTATTAGGGAAATTATTAAGAAAGGTGATGCTGAAACTAATTGAACCCAATCTTAAATTTCAAAAAATTATACTAAATCACCAAATCTATTGAATTTTAAACACCATAATATCATCGTCATTTGAAAACAGAAACTTCCCATGTAGTTTCATATACGTATCTCAATTTTTTAATCATGTATGGTACACATGATTACACTTTAAACTAAAAAAAAGTTTACCACTCTTTCTACTTATTGTCTGAACCATATTCACTAAACCACTCATTCTTTATCCAATAAGTAGGCTTTCTCTCGTCTAAATTAAAAATCCAAGTAGCAGTATATTAAGGAAGTGACTTATTACCAGACTTCTTCAACATTTACACATCATATATTTCCAACATCGAAAATACACTGATAGCCACTTACAATGACGAAACTGCAATTTTCTAATCACATTCCGTAGGAATTAATTGTAAGAAAGATATGTTAAGTACTGTTTCACCTAGCTCTTGTATGTATTTCTATTCCTCACTGCATTAGTAAATTAATTCGTTTTTCTCCCTACTATACAGTGTATTCAAATACGGAACGATATTTGTGTTGGTGAATGGCGAGCTCTGTTGCCTCGTTTTCTCGTGGATCCGTTCAGACATCGTCGTTGACGTAGCCATGTATAGTGATTATGACTATGAGTTATGACCTGCCTTATAAGTTATAACAGATATAACAGATTTCACTCTAACATTGTTACGTTTTAAAGTATCAGAAATAATAAATATATATTCGATCAACAATGCAAATTTATTTCAGTAGTACTTGAGAATACGTCCTATTATCGTTTGAAAAGTTTAACAGGTTGACTGCCACTATGATTTTTGATACTTTTTACCCGGTACCGTGTGTACAAAATTGTGTAAACTCCTTTACTTACCATTTTTCTTTTCGTGTACATGATATTGCACACGAGTTTTTTTTTCAAACAATTTTTGTGTATAGAAATGTGTACACATTCTACTAATATAACATTAGAATTAAATATTGTGGCCCCTAGAACCAGTTTTGTCTACTCAGCGAAGATAGGAAATGGATATTTTTTATTTAAATCAAAATTATAAAAAAGAGGTTTTTGCAAATCATCGCTTAAAATTTGTTGGACAGTATAAAAATATTTGCATATTATACAAGTATGGAGATTTGTTCGTGAACAAAAAAATGTACACGTGGCAGTTAATCTGTTAATTAATATCAAACTGTATATATATATATATATATATTAAAATCACAGTTTATATAACTAGTATTTTATATGCATTAAAAGTAGGATTATTGGTAGTATCGAAAATAAGTATTGAATTAAGGATGAACCATTTTAAATCAATATACGCGTCATAACTATATGAATAGGCTACCACGTAAATAAATTAGCCACTATTTGAAGATTTAAGTGGTTTTACGTAAAACCTAAGAAGTATAATTCATGTTCATGAAMGCATTTCCAAAATCGTCATTAGACTTACTACCTTGCATTCTATGGCTGACATTAACTCCAGTATATAGCAATATGACGTGGATATAATATTAATATTATCATGTTTCTGGGGATCGGTATGTTACAAACTATTCTGGTTCATTCGCTTTCGTATTAACAGCAATAGTATAACAATGGCCTTTCGCGGGTCATTTGAAAGCCTAAATGTGATTTTCGTAATATGTATGTGGTTCGGCTTGTGATTCAACATAGTCTATCTTCGTTAGCCGAAGACAATAAACCATATTAATATGCTACAATATGACGTATACATCACTATACCATATACGAGTATATGTGTGGAGTGTCTACTTATACACACCTACCGACCGAATCGTCAACCACAGAGTTTAATAATCTTCATACCATACACAATAATAGTTTTTGTTACGGAACAGAACCACACATTTCAAAAAGGCAGTGGTGGCGCCCAGGGGGGGCAATGTGGGGCTAGTGCCTTACCCAAATTTGGTTTAGCCCCACCTTTGCCCTACCTGTTTGAGACCAAATGAAAATTTAAATTCCAAGTATTTAATAATACAATTGACCATCAACTTCATTATGTATTTGATTGAGATTATGTTTTATTGTATATTTATATTACCCATCACAATATTGTGTGAAATTTCTCTTTTCCGATTAGCAGTTAAACACCATATCGAGTATTAAATATGGTTATAATTTATCAATTATGGGACAACTGCTTATCACAATGTTGGAGTAATATAATTTCGGAGAAGTTGCTAATGGTAGTATTGTTATTTTWCTGTTTWWACCACGGTYATGGCACAGATAACATTTTCATGTTATCTGTGGTCATAGTATGACTGGTATGACCGTGGTTTAAACGAAAACGGTATCTTGATTGAATGGAATTAGTTCATTAATCCTAAAAACTCAACATTTTTAAAGTTTGACAATATATTACCTTTTGCACGTCATTATGGTGTTGATACAGACGGCTTAAAAGTAGAATTAAAACTTTTACCAAAATTAATAAAAAGACAAAGAGAAGAAAATAATTATGAAATAAAGACTATACTTGATTTCGCAAAACTATTAGACAACTATAGAATGGCTTTTTCAGAAACATTTATCTTATGCAAAATTGCTATTACAATACCACCTTCAAGCGCAGGAGTGGAATGGACATTTTCAAGTCTAAGGCAAATAAAGACTTATTTAAGAAATCATATGTGCAATGAAAAACTAACATCTGTTGCTATATTAAAAATTGAAAAAAGAATATCCAAAAGTTTAAATCTAGATATAGTTATAGATAAATTTGCGTCCATCCATAATAATCGACGAATTTTGTTGTAAATGTTGTAATGTTTAAAATAATATAATAAAACCAAAATCTACACAAATTTTTACTTTTTATCAGTTTACCTACTCCTCTCTTTTACATTAGTGTCTGATTTATATGATTACAATAAATGCCTTTAATAGCTGATATACTAAAATATCAATCCCATTAATAAAAGTATTATGGAAAATCCAAATAGAGAGCAATAATATACAAATTACAACTATATATTTTCCCCACCGAAAATTTTTTGCCC